CTAACATTATCCAAAAAGGACGATAGTCGGACTATTATGTCACGAGGACGGGGCATAGTGAGCGGAACTGCAGTAGGAAATTCACATATATCCTAAAAGAGATGGTATTTCCGCCAACGATGTTGCACTGAACTTCTGAAACAGACGCCGCCGAGTTTTTGGGGTGTGGTCGAGCGAGGATACCCCCCTCATCTCATCGTCCCTAGCCAGGAACGTGAAACAGGCACACCTCGTCACAAATCCTTCCAGAAGCCATTGTGTAGATTTTCTAAACTTTTTTTTTACGAGATATCATAGCAGGCTAGACAAGGTTGAATACGGCAGCGCGCTGCAAACGGCACAGCGTTTTGCAGTTGTGAAGACAAGGGCAGGCCAGCAGCACCGGCTTAGGGTCAGATTGTGCTACATCCAGCCTCCGATCGTCGACCACCGAAGATCCACTACGACGCAGTAGACATGCCAAAGGCGCAATGGTAGAGCACTCACTCAGAAGATCGGGCGCCTACATAACAACTATCGTGGCCTAGGCCAGGCGCAAGAGGGTTTGAGATTAATTAGCTGACAGCCATCTTAACTGCTAGCGCAACAGATCGAGATAAACTTGGCTAGATTGGCAGGTTAGTTACCAACGCATCTAGGTTCGCAAGATGTGCTTGCAGCTTGGTAGCGTTGGCGACAAAAGGCGTAACCTCTACAATGGACACCGCCCATTGTAGTTGGTTGTATACGTTGAAACACTCGGTTGGAGAGGCTGAGAACGACTCTATTGCTTAGTTCTCTTGAATCAGCCTAAGTTAAGGTAAAGTAGTCTATAGTTGCCCGGCCCTTAGCAATAGCCAAGAGACCAGCTTCTCAATACATCATGGCCAGCATCACCATCATCAGTATCTCAGTCAAAAGACCAAAGACGTAGCCACTACAGTCTAACTGTAACAAGGGTCCTTCTTCTCTACTACTTAACAGTATACTACTATAGCTTATATCGTCTTAGCAATGCTCCGGTATCGTCATCGTAGGTAGTATTTTCGTTCCACCTCCCGGCACTACCTTCCTCTATGACGGCATGCGGGATTGCCTAGTCGATTTGTTTCATTCTTTCCGATTATCACGCTGACTATAATCATCACCAGCATGGTCTGCAGCCACGGCATCAGGGTCTTAGGATCTCAGTGCTCCCCCGCTCCGCTGTAACGCTGTTGGGTTACCCGTTTACGCCATCATGGTTTCTAGGTGCTTTGACTCTAAGTTCCTCTTCCAGTTTGAGTATCTGAAACATTGACAGGCAAGAGTCTTGCGTTTCAGCTTTTTTTATATTGTCCTAGTCCGCTTACATAGCAACTAGTATCTGGGTAAAAAGCCAGGATTAAGTCCCATTGGGTCTTTTTCACTGCATACCCTTAGAAAGACGAACCCGCTTTCTGCCATTATACCAGGATCGCATGCGGGATATCACCCGCAGGCAGGTGACTAGCGGTACGGGTCTGGGAAACTACTATATGCCAGCCACTCCAGATTCGTTCACGCCGTACTCGAGCGATAATGTACGCGTCGAAAACGATCAAACTCAGACTCAAATCCCCCCATATCATATCGAAATCTATGTACTACACTCCATATCACCAAATTGCTATCGTCCTATGACCCTCCCTCGACGCCCAGACCTATTGGTGATCTAACCGCTGAATCTTGGTCGGATGGTTCCCGGTACAACCGGCCGGGGGAGGGGATCAACTTCTGAAACCACCGAGGGCTCCCTGGATCTCTCCGATAGTGATAGGCTATAATCCCTGGGGTCATTCGCCCCCCTGGACCTCTTCTGTTCTTGGCGACTAGGTGCGGCATAAACTTGGGGATCCAGAAGCGTTCTGGACGGGAAAACGGAGGCCTTGAGGCCATACCGCCAGCGGCAAAGGCCCATCGTGGATCCCGACACCGACAAATACCATGGGCGTACTCGCTGCAGTGATTCTTGGGAAACTCCTCACAGGGCTGTCGTCGGCAGATACCTATGGCGAGCTAAGATGACGAGATCCTCTTTCCACGCGAGCATCCACCAGCGCCCTTCATACCTGAGCGCCAATTTCTACCTAACGCCTACCTACAAGTTATCGCTAAACCTCCAGACAAGTCACATATATGTGGCATCCGCTGCTGAACTTACTTCACGGAGCGAATACCGAGGGCGAAGAATCTGAGGTTGGCATAATGTGGCGATGGCGCTCAAGCAAAAAAAAAAAAAAAAAAAAAAAAAAAAAAAAAAAAAAACTAGACTTATCGCACCTCAACTCGCCACTAGGAAATCACTTACTGCATACCCGGATTCATGGAATCTTTCTTAACACTGCTTAGATGTGGAAAATTGTGTTCCTTGTCAGTGGAGTGAGCAACTCCACCGCGGGTTTGTTTCTGATATCTAGGTCAAGTCCCGGGGGCCACGAGCCGCCAGAACCAGACTGGAGTGGAGCGGAAAGAGCCCGTCACTCAGGTTTTTGTTTCTATCGTAGAGCCCATTATCCCAAATTCACACCAGTCATATTTTCCCACCCTCTCTCTTTCCCTCCCTGCCCCCTTGTAGAAAGAACCTAGGCAAGTTTGGACCCTGAAGCAACCGGCGGGCTGGTGAGCTGAGAAAAGAAGTGCCTAGCGCAGAAACACCGTGTGGACCAAGAATACCGCTGTTTCTTCTTTTTTTAAAGCAAACTACATACAGGACGGTTATAGTATACTAGTCTTATGTTTTTTTTATTATCCCTACCAACTTGTAAACAATACCGGCCTTTGGGAATCGAGAAGACATGTTATGGGAGAGGGGGGAGGGTCAGGTAGACTTGGCGGGCCCTCAGATCGTCCTTGATCGTGCAGACAAGGCGCTTCACTAGCCTGTAGAATAGAGCGTGTGTATGTGTCGTGCTGTGCGTGAGACTTAAAATAGACATAGGTACATACATTAACCTACATGCTAGTGTAGCGGAATGTGTGTAGTGGAATCGTGTTCGGCGGGAAGAGAAGGTGAGATGAGAGAGGAACGGACAAGAAGGGTCTCCCAAAAATACCCAAACCGCGGACTTTGATCTTTCGGTTCTTGTTTTTTTTTTTTTTTTTCACTGTCCTGTCTCCAGTTTTTCCGTCCGATCTGTCTGACGGCTGGCTACATGAGGCATGCTTCGGCGGATTAAAAAAAAAAAAGGAGTGGGACGACGACGAATCTCTGAGTATGATCGCCTTGAAGGGGGGATGGGATGGGGCGGGCGGTTTCCCGCCCCTCTCTCTCCCTCCCTTCCCACACCTTCCCAGCTCCAGAATGTAAAGGGGATTCGCAATACCTATCTCCGTCTCTGTGTGGATTAAGTAAGTTGAGTTGACTTCGCCCACTGTGTTAGCTGACTAATGTGGTGGACGTCTCAACCCCGTCGTCTCCCTCTCATGTTCTGGACCTGGGAATACTAGGTGTGTTTATTTGGGATGCTGGCTTAGCTGCCAATGATACTGGTGTCTTGTCGCTCTTTCTTAATTTCTGTCTCCCTCATACGTGAGTGGCAACAGTGGCAATATCACGGAGGAAGCAGAGAGAGGGATCGAGCGCATGCAGACTTCGGATATTAGGGGGCGATAGGGGGCTCTGCTCGGAATTTTTGCCATCATGTACAAGGGGCACCTGCTCAAGGTTGAAGCAGAGTGGGAGGGAGAAGCTTTGCTTCTCGAGCAGCAGGGAACCTTCTTGCGTGCGTATGCTTTATGTAGCCCAAGCCTTTGCCAGCTTGCTACGGCGGGTAGGTGGGTGACACGGCGTGGATAGTAGATCTATAGCTTGATACGCGCGTAGTTCTGTAAACTACCTAGGCAGCTAGATATACTGAATACAAGAAGCATCACTGAAAATAAGCTTGATTTATCTATTTAACTAGTCTAGATGGTACGGCTTACGTCTCAAATAGTGACATCTCATGTTTTTTCATGATTAGTATGCTTTGATGTCTAAGGGACCGAGGATATGGCTATCTAGTAAAGAAGGCCTTTCACAATATGATAATCAGAATTCAGTCATTGTTTCTGTTATGTATATCCTCTATATAACTACCAATGCGTGCCTTAAACTAGGTAACTGAGGCTATTGGATGCCATCCTATCCCTATTGAATAGGACAGGATATCGAGAGAGAATAAATATGCTCTCCACGATGCTTATCATGTATTAAATACCCTCCATTACTAACACCTTAGAAACAGCTCTCTCCTTATATTAAGATCTTGACAAATGCCCCTTTCCGTTATAAATTTATCAGAACGACCGTAAATATGAAGAAGCTATCTAGTTGTCTTTAATATTGCTATGGGCTATATTCTTTTGTTAATATGTATACACACTACTACAATATTATTATATTTATTAATTTGAATAATTTATTTTTACTCTATGGATAACGTCATATTTGGTACATACGTGATTGACGCTTCTAGTTGTAGTAGTAAGTCTATAGGGAACCTTGGAACTCATTTGTAATGGGTTATTTATATCTGAACACATGTTTTCGCAAAATAACAAGGAGACGTGATGTAATATGTATTTTTAGTTTAGGATATTGTAGGTGAAATGTATAAACACTGAATATAGCAATAATCCTGCTATAGAGAGAGAGAGAAGAACAGAAAATGATGAACTATGCATGGTATTTTTTATACGCTTTGGGTTCCTTATTCTGGAATCTAAGTCACAACGCCGTAATACCTGAACTGCTTCGAACTCACTCACTTACGTTTCCGGTTATTAGTAAGGATTCAGCGGATATAAGCTAATTGAACCTGAGAAAAAAACAATATTCTTTTCTCTATAAAAGGATCGCACTACACAAACCAGAGCACACAAAAATAAGTAGCTTCTTTCTCATACTCTCGCCCAGACGCTATATCCATCACACCAAAATCAAACCTCAATCTAAACCTTCACAAGTACTGTATATCATAAATCATAGACAATGAGGATCGGAAATGGGTAAAAAACTTGGGCTTGGCCGGGGATCGAACCCGGGACCTCTTGCATCTTCGTGATGAGCGAGAGTGAAGGAGAACCACACAAACACACAATACCCTAAGCAAGAATCATACCACTAGACCACCAAGCCTCTTGGTGTATGGAGCTATTTCCATAATCCTCGTTCACGGACATCTTACAGAACGGATCATATTTCGTATTGCTGTTTGTGCTGTTAAAAAAAGAAAATTGGGTAAGACAAAAGAAAACTTTTTTCTCGAATACGAACTAAGAGAGGAAAGGCCCTTCTTGTGGATACTTTGTGTCGTGAGTTTGATGGTTAGGGCTTTAAAAGTTAGACGATACCGATACTTTTACCTAAGGAAGGACACAGACGATTCAAAAATTTAAAAAGGCAAATATGAAGCATGTGATGTATGCTTTGAATGCCATGGGTAGGGTTTGTGTCTGGCGTTGTGTAGTGTATTCTAGTCAATGTGTTGATCTATTGCTTATAGAAATAAGCAGTGTGCCTATAAATAAGAACTCCTAAAGGCCAAACGCTCAATGAGAGATTACTCTTAGTTATTGATCTGTATTCACGTGTAACCTCTATATATACAGAGGGAGGGCGAGACAGGAACTAAGTTGGTGACCATGAAGTTTTAGTTAGCGAAGACTCCTAGTTACCTGAGATTGGGACTGCAGATTTTGAACGAAGCTGCTCATAGATGAAGGAGACTAAAGTAAAGTAGATTCAGGTAATGTATGTGCTTGAAGGAGGTGGCCCTGCTAAAATGATAGGGAATACTTACCTAACTATGCCCTATGAGTATCTATGAGTAAGATCTAAGGGGCAATGTTTAGACATCATGAAGCTACGGAAGTAACAATGATCTTAGTCTGCTCTCCTATAGACAATCTCTCCTGAGACTAAGGATATTGACTTCTAGGACGATGCGCTAGCCTCGAGTGTCTCTGGATATACATGTTCATGTAGAAAGCTATGACCGAGAACATACGTTTGGCTTTGGATAAAATCCATCATGTTATGTTTTATATTCCGCTTCCTTGAACTATACATTACAAGGGATACCTGCTAACCAAATACTGCACTCCTATCCCTACATATAATGGCAACGCTTGATCATGTTGAAAACCCAGACAATCCCTAATGATATGCAAACGCTGATACTATTCACCCCTTTCCCCCAGCACATTAAGACGCATTGTTTATGAAGGATTATCCTCCTCCGCAATAGTCTGTAGATTCTTTTTCATGACAATCTCCAACGCCCTCGTTATCTTCTTAGAGAGGACCCAAAGCCTTTCCGCTGTATTCTCGTTGGCGAGCTTCTTGTGCGGGTCCTCCTTGCGCAGCAGGCTAACACCAATTTGTACCGCGTCTAAATGAAACTGAAGCATGGTCTCGACGAACTCGTGACTCATGTTGATATTTATGGGAGGCGGCTTGTGTATTGAGACCTGGTCTGCAAGGCTTATCCAGCCTCCTGGCGTGGTGCTCTGGTGGCTGAGCATCGTATGGAGCGCCTGACACACGAAGCGACCCCGGAGGTAGTCTGAGCTGGTTAGCGATTTCCTTCGCGCGCTGTATCCAAGGATCCGTTTCAGGTCCAAGGATAGAAGTTCCCACAAGGAGTAGCGCTCTGCCATCTCAAGGCCCTCATCCGTTTCGAGGACCCCTTCTAGCGCTGAGAGGATGGGCATCCGCATCTCAGGGATCTTCAGGTGTTCATATTCGACTGAGACGTTCTTCTTATAAAGTTCTACAAATACGTCCATTAGACCTGCTCCTTGCTTTCTGAGTTCTTCCCCGTCGTCGTCTCGGAGCCAAATCGCTATCAAACCGATGGCAGCCGGGGTGATGGGGTCTTCGAAAAAATTGTATTTGGCTACATCCCAGGCAAGCTTGTCCGGCTCCTCACACGAAGATTTCCGAATGCTGGCGACCTCTTTGACATCGTGGCCCTTATTCATGAGTAAAACAGCATCCCAGCGGTCTCGAAGATACTCCATAGCCTCGGCAATGGTTCTAGCAACATCCATCCGGATTTTGAGGATATGTTCTGGCGATAAGGCGTTTCGCATATTTTGTGAGGCTTCAGCGGACGTCGATTTATCTTCATCATCTATTGTACCGATTAGGTGACCGATGAATGATGTTATTACCTCGAGAACAGAAGCGAGGCGCTTAGAGACTGCGGGGTATTCTGGTTCTGTAGTCATGGGCACGAGTTGATGGACAGTGGCGTGGAAATCTACTTGCAGCATTGTTACAAGAAGAAACACGAATGGCTTTGAAGAACCCGGGTCGTCTAAGAAGAGCAGATGGGGCGCTTGTTCCGGGTAAACCTGTAGGAGCGTAGCTGCGCAATTCGTATATGCGCACCGTTCTTCCTCCGACTGTCTACCCATAGACAACTCCTTGATAAGTTTTACAACCGACCCTAGCCATTGGGGGTCCGGTGATATTAACTATTGTAAGGTTATGGTTAGCCAAAGACCACGAATACTATGGATCAACAGGCTGGGGCCAACGTACATCTGGATCGAGCCCGCGAAGAATGTCTGATAAAAAACCTAGTAGCTCTCTCGGAGGGTAGCTTCTGGAGGAGGAAACAAAGGCTTGGAGACCTCGATCAATCTTGTTTCTAATTTCGTCCCTTTCCTTTCGATCTTTCAAGCCGGTGGTGCCTCTAAGCCAAATCCATTGAAAGAGGGTGAAGACGTCTGGATGGTCGGTGATGGCTTCTATAAGGGGAATCCAAATATCAACATCGAGTCTAGCCATAAACATGGCGCCGTTGTAGACTTGAGTGTTTGAACGTGCTTGGACTAGCTTAAGCATGATCTCCACGATGGCCTGTCCGGTCTCCTTGGTGCTGATAGTAGTTTAGCGCCATTCGAGTCGGAGCCATGTAGGACACATACCTGTAGGGTAGAGCAGCAGACAGCTTGGGTATACGTTCCAAGTAAGTGATCCCTATGGCGCAGTTGGGTTGAAGGAGGGCGAAAGTGCGGATAACACCGACGGCAAAGTCCAACATTTGGCGGGCATGGTCTGGATTCGATTCAACCTTTGTACCGGTGAGAAGAAGCCGGTCTAGGAACCTAGGCGAGATGCTGTCCCACAGTGAAGCAATTTCGACTTTGTCGTCTTGAAGTTCAGGATAGGTATCCAAAGCTTGCTTAAGGAGGGTCAAGCCAACGAATCTCGAGGTATCATTCTTGTTTTTGAGCAGGGCCTTGACGTTAAACAAGGGTTTTCTAACATGCCTCGGTATTATGGTCTGAGGGGTTGGTGATTCCATGATGATGATGGGATGTGGTCAGGAGTGAGGTAGGTTAGATATGTAAGTATGTAGGTTAGGTAGGTAGGGTATTTTGGTTGATAGTGAGGATGTATTGGTATGATGAAAATGAAAGAAAAGAAAAGAAAAAAAGCAAAAAAACGAAAGTGGTGTGTGATGGATGATAAGGTGTCTTAACCTATATGATATGGTCTTGTTCTGGTTATTTATTTATTTGTTATTATTATTTAATGTCGGGTCTTGTGATGGTTTAAGTTAAGTCTGGGGTCGACGTTGAACATCGACTGGTGAAGTTTAATAGGTAGGTAGTACCTAACCTAGGTAAATAGTTGTAAGACGTAGTTACCTAATAACTTAACCTTAAACCTCTAAGTGCATCAGGTAACATTTTGGTAACAACTTTGGCCTTTGAGTACCTATGTAATGTAGACCCGAAAGGCAAGGCAGGGTCCTTATCGCTATCCGCTATCGCAAGACCGATAGCCTCATAGCCCCACAAATCTATATGGAGAGGTACGTAATTAAGCGTCGACTTGGGGACTAGTAAGGCATTTCAATCTATAATCCCTACAAGCTAATAATAACCTTGTCACGCATGACACTAACTTAGGTTACTACATAAACCTTCACATATACATATACAAAACTTACACATATCCATATACCTTCAAGTCACAACCGTATTTCGAATACCGACATAAAAGAATTGATTTGCGGATATGGCAGATCGCGCTGCCCGGCCTATAGAAGCATGGCAAGCAGCAGGAATTTCATAAGCACCCACGAGGAGGAGGGCTCCTCATCCTCATCCGCCTCCAACCCCAGAAGATCACCCAACCACCTGCCAGCCCCCTCCGCTGCTGCTATCCGCAACCACTACCACGGTGTCGAGAACGACGAACTCGACATCTTTGTCGACACCGACACCGACCATGTTAACGACCACGATCTGCTGGGCCACGATCCCTTGGGAGGCTACGAAGAAGGAAGAGAAGGGGCCGAAGACGAGCGCGACCAGCCGCATATGAGCTTCAAGCGGAGGCAGAAGCAATCTGTTTTGTCGCCGAGGCGTGTGCTTTCTGCTCTGACCGGGAACCGCCTGGGGTCGTCACACTCGTCTCAGGGCCCTCCCTCACCAGGCACCGGCACGCCCACGAGACTACAAGGCATAACCCCCGGCAGCAGGAATGATAGGGGCTCTCTGCCGTCGGGCGCATCGAAAGATGGCATGCCGCTCGACTGGTATGTCGAGGGCCCCGGGAGGAGAGTGGGCTACGAGGACTTGACCGCCATTGACTGGATCTTCGAATATACCAAGGAGCGCCAGCGCCTGCGAGTTCTGTACTCGAGCGCCACCGGCTTTATTGGTTACATACAACAACTTCTGGATTCTAGCCAAGCTTGGATCACTCTGGTTTTGACCGGAATGGCCGTCGGAGCGCTGGCGGCCGGCATAGATGTCGCATCAGACTGGCTGGGCGACATCAAGACGGGTTACTGCTCATCTGGTCCTGATGGCGGCGCGTTCTATCTAAATAGGCAATTTTGCTGTCTAGGCTACGACCAAGGTGATAAATGCATGGGATGGACGCCATGGGCTGCGGCCATGGGGATAGAGTCCACAGGTGGAAAGTGGTTTATAGAGTATTTCTTCTTTTTGTTGCTTTCTGTAAGTTGCCATGTTCACCATTGATCCTACTCGATCTTGTGGGCATCGACACTAACTGGGCCTGGAGGTTACATTCGCTTTGTGCGCTGGGTTTCTGGTTAAGGAGTACGCGATTTATGCGAAACATAGCGGTATACCCGAGATCAAAAC